TATATATATATATATATATATATATATATATATATATATATATAATTTTAGAACTTATATTGATAATAGTGGCTTGATAAATCTAATGTAAAGACAGGCAATTATCAGAAATAATAATAATGGAAAAGAAATATCAATAACAATCCAATTTATAAAAGTAGCTGTTCTAACTTTTATACTAACAATAAACTTTAATTGCATTGAAACAAACTATCATTAGAATATAAAAGAGTACTTACATTCTACAAATACAAAGACTGGTGAAGAGCTTCCACTCCTCAGGACACTGACTCGGCAAGCTTTCGAAATTACAATCACACATACAATCCTCACAATCACTCAAAGTCGGTGTGGCTTTATGAACACCACTCGATATACAGGGTTTTTTAAAATGGAAAATAGAGGAGATAGAGTTATCAGAGTGAATAGTATTTTTGCCAAAGAGAGAAAGAAGAGAAGCAGTGCTCAGAGATGTTCAGAGGGGACTTAAAGAAGAACAGATGGTTTCAGAGAAGAGAGGTTACGAAAAGATTAAATGGATAGAGCAGGAATGCTCTGAGAAGCTAACAGAGTAGGGGCGTTCTTAGTTATAGAACAATAACAGACAACAATGACCCAGAGATAGGGAACATAAAAACTTACAGGAGTTACGGCACGTAGGAAGATGAGTAACTCGAAGAGGAAAAGCTTAGAGCATAGCAGAGAAGAGAAGAAGATCAGAGAAGAAGAGTAGAGAAGAAGAGTAGAGACGAAGAGAAGACTTAGGCACAATCCGAATGCCTCCCTTCCAAGGAATGACTTCCTTTTATAAATGTCGGAATCCTCGGCTCAATTATTTAGAATGCCAGCTCAAAAGAGAGGCACAGTAGTTGGAGATGACCAAAAGGTGAGGCACAGTGGTTGGAGATGACCAAAAGGTGCCACGGTAGGACGGCGGCATCTGGGAATAGTAAGCTTTGTCGATGATTCTGACAAGTGGTAGTACGGCGGCATCTGGGAATAGTAACCTTTATCGATGATTTTGACAAGTGGCAGTACGGCGGCATTTGGAACAGTAACTTTTGTCGGTGAGTCTGACGGGTGGTAGTACGGTGGCATCTTGGAATAGTAGTATTTGTGTCGGTAGAATAGGAATTATGGACAGGTGGCAGACAGGTAGTATCTTTTGATGTTGACAGAGTAATGCAGCAGCTGGCAGCTTTTGGGCTTTTATTCGGGCTTATTTTCGGGCTAACAGGCTTTCATGGAAAATCGATCTGTGGTTGTATAAGCGCGCAATCTTCTCCTTCAGGGGTAAGATCTTCCTCATTTGTTGAAGTTGACATAGCTTCAGCTTCTTCTTCAAACATTTGTAGTAACTTTCTTTTAATTCTTCTTTAGAAGCAGTTGGGTTTTGCTGCTTCATTTTATTTATGTATTCAGAAAAATGATCTTCCTTTTTCTCCTGGACTGGAGTAGAAATCTTTCTTAATTTTATATTCTCAGGGTCTATAGCTTTATTCTCATATACGTCCCACCATTTAATATAAACTTGTTTTCCAAATTTAGGAATATATTCCCAATTTTGGGTATAGTCATCAGTTATTGCATATGTCCATTTCACTATCCACGGTTTTTGGTAAAAAGCCATGAAGTATAGATGCATATCAAGCTTGGGGTTTTTATTGTTGTATTCAGCAAACTTTTGTTGAGAAAGCAGTATTTTTTGTGGTAATATATCAGATCCAGATCCCCAAATCTGGAACCATATTTTGAACCAATTTGGAAGTTCAGAGACTACTGGAAGTTTTATCTGTATAAACCAAGTATGGGAATTAGTATTGTTTTGGAGATAGAATACCCTGTTCCAAGGGTCTATGTACTCAGAATACCTGTAATATTTGTTATTGAATTTTGGCGCATTGAGCTTTCTGCTTCTTGTGGGGCCCATTCCCCATTCTTTATAGGAAATAATTTTCCTTATTTGGAACTTAGAATAAGCAATGGTATTTGTATTCTTTTGACAAAAAGGTACAAGGTACAAGGGTTATAGAGCCGGTTTCAAGAAGAATGGCCACATACCATTCTCTAGTCTTATTATTATTGAAAGGGCTCATTTGGTTTATTAAATATAGGTTGGCCAAATTAACTGGATCCATGTCCATAAGTTCATCTTCTATTACTGAATCTGATAAGAAAGTGGTTTTTCTATAAATATTGATTTTTTCGATGCTGGAGTTCTAGCTGGGCTAGAAGCTTGCCTCGTTATGAGGTGGTTAGGAGTAACAGGAGAGTGTATGAGAGGGCTTCCGGATGAAGATGAGACTATTTATTTCCCTTTTCCCATATGTGAAGGGACTATTTCGTTTGCTTTACTCGTATTTGTATTTGTATGAATTATTAGACGACGGTCTCTGTTATTCATGTCTCTATCCCCCCTGCAAAAATTCACGAGTGAGAAAATCAGGAAGGAAATTAGTTTCCTTTGATGTGTTTCACATCAAATTCAAAGAAAGAAAGAATTGCTTGCTAACGCGCAAAGATTTGTTTGGAAACCAGATTTTTGACATCCTTGAGCAAAGTATCTTTGGCTGCTTTGCAATCAGTGCGAATGAGAAATATTTTATTTAAGATATCACTTTGGAATTTAGAAAAACAATGAACAATGGCTAATATTTCTTTTTTCACCGTGGAATATTTTTGCTGCGTTTTATTCCAGGCTGTAGAAGTATGGCGGACCAAATGTTCTGTTTTATCAAGTTGTTGCTTTAGGATTCCTCCTAATCCAATTTCGGAGGCTACACATTCTATTATTTTAAAAGCGTTAGGATTGGAAAGTGAAAGACAAGGCAGTTCTTTGGCTTTTTTTTTATTTTTCGGACTGTTGAAGTATGTTCCTCAGTCCATTTAGGTGGATTCTTTTTTAGTGTATCAAACAAGGGTTTAGCATCAATAGCTAAATTTTTATAAAAATCTGAAATATAATTTAGGCATCCCAAAAACCTTTGTAATTCAGTTTTGTCTAAAATAATATCTGGAAATTTACTTGCAAATTCTATAGCTCTATCAATGGGAATAATATTTCCTTGATATATATTGTGAGCCAATAATCTTATCTTGGTTTGGCACAGACTAATTTTCTTAGCAGATACTACGAGGCCTGCTGCTTTGATCGTATTAAGAAAGACGTTTATGTGTTTGATGTGTTGTTCGAAAGATTCTGAAAATATTAGAACATCATCTATATAAACAATCATAAATTTTATATAGGGATTGAAAACATCATTCATAATATTTTGAAATTCGGAAAGAGCGTTTTTGAGCCCAAAGGGAATTACGTTCCATTCGTATTGTCCAAAAGGGACATTGAAATCAGTTTTGTATCTATCTTTTTTAGAAATTTGTATTTGCCAATATCCTGACTTAAGATCGAATTTAGAAAATATGCAAGTATTGACAAGTCTATCTAACAACTCCTTTTTATTTGGAATAGGATACCTTACCCATTTCAGTATCTTATTTAGCGGTTTATAGTTTATCACAAGTCTGGGGACTCCCCTTTTTTTCTCTGAAGCCTTTTCAACATAAAAAGCAGAAGAGCTCCATGGCGACGAACTTTTTCTGATTAACTGCTTATCAAGTAAATCATCTATTTCTTTTTTGCAAATCTCAAGGAGTCTAGGATTCATTTGAATGGGTCTAGCCTTTGTGGGAATATTTTTTTCATAAAAGTTTTCTTCGTAAAGCGAACT